ATATTGCTGAATGAAACGTCGAGATAATATTCAAAAAAAGGAGATGGACGGTTCCTCTTGCTATGTGATAACGTTGTTTTGCTGAAAGTTAGGGGTGAAGGAATGATGAAGAACGAAAATTCATCTGATAACACTGTAAACCGAATCGTTGTTCACTGAACATAAATTTTGGGTGTCAGAATTTAAAAAATTATTTAAGTTAGCCATCTTCATTCAAACTCATTTGTTCAACTTTATTCAAAATCACTCAAACAATCGAGTGGCGTTGTAATGTGATATTAGAGTACCTTATATTGCACACGAACGGAATATATAATGACTTGACTGATACAGGTATTATAAAAACAAAGAGAATTATATTGAAACAATACATGAATTATTGCTATTCGATCCGAGAAAGGCATAATAGCAATTAGATAGAATGCTATAAATAGTAATGTTTACGCTATCAAAAACAACAAACAACAAAATTTTTACATACATGCAATGCACCGAAGAAGATGACCAGATGAAACAAATAAATAAATACGTCGGTGAATTTGATGAAATGAAATAAACTGAATGAAATTAGCCAACAAAACTTTTAAACCGATCCAAGTCCACTATCATCACGCCTCTCAACCGCACAACTTGAACTGTTATTATGATTGAATTGCAATCGTTTGGTTGATGCCATATTATTCAGATCAATATTGTGATTGTTATTGGTGACAGTAGCAATAATGGATGTTGAGTCAAGAGGTGATGATATTATCATATCGCTGCTTCGATTGTGATTAGCAGTAGTATGATTATCGATACGATAATATGGTAATGGTTGATATTGTTGAGATTGCTCCCATGGAATTTCATATCTGAATCAATACGAAATCTTTAACTTGATAATCTTTTAACAGTCGTTTGATGAGCAACAACATTCCGCTTGACCAATCATGTTCATGTGCAAAAAATGAAATAGGTGTACATAAATGATAGAGATTGATCACAATGACCGTATACAAGCGAAACCCAGAAGTGAGATGAACTGAAGAGAAATTATCAAGCGAATGCATGAAATGAACTCGGCTACCTGCTATCATCATTCTCGAATTCAGCGAGTGGATGATTTAAATGTGTTGGTTGTTGATGATACAAATGTTGTTTGTCATTTGTTGTTTTATTCAATTTGCTATTACGTTTCTGACGGAGATAAGCAATCAGAAGACACGCAAATGAGGCACTTAGAATGGCCGAAATGGCACATACAAAGATCAGCGCCGCATACATGAATTGATCTCGATTGATGACTTGAGATGACAGCAAATACTCTGAGGACGAATCTGATTCCAAATACTAAAATTGGCATTCACAATTGATGATAGCGCAAGTTCATCGAAACGAAACCATCTTAACAAGCAGTAAAGCATGTAGAAGCTGAATTCAACTGAATTTAAATGAAAGAAAAAGAAAACCTTTTTGGAAAAGAAAACTTTGAATGATTCAACGGAAAACTCTGACTATGGATAGAAAAAATTTAGCAAAACCAGTGAAAATGAATTGGGATGGTGATTGGGTATTAGAATGAATAAACTAACATGCTCAACAATGGCAATATCATTATTATTGTTGTTGCTATCGCTGCCTTGTGAACACCATGGACAACGCAACTTATGTTTAGCAATAGCCAGTGTAGCATTATAGCATTTCGCTTTCAACTCAACGATCATTCTACTATTATCACGGTTCGATTCCGATTCTGACGACCACTTTTGTTTATCTGAGTGGCTTGACCGAATCATGCCCTCAAAAAATTATTACTTTGTAAGTCAATCTTCGACAATACTTATACTGTTGCGAATCACCTAATCACATTCACATTGCAAATGGGTACAATCAAAAGTATTTGTCGAAATCAACGAGAAAAGATAACCGTCCGTGTCTGTTGCCGATACTTCAATGTCTGCAAAGTATAAACAACAAAAACGTGAAATCATTATAACGAAGGATGCATGATAATAAGTATGACATGCTCACGCACGATAGTAATGATTGATAATAAACGAAATTACCAGTTTGTTCAACGATGACTTTCGAAATATTCTAGCCGTTGGAGTAGCATCACATACTCGTGGAAAGCTGTACGTGGGATCGATACCAACCACTTCACAATTCAGCATGATATCCCGTGGATTGCCATCGGTCCAGTGGCTTATGAATGAACGCGAATGATCCTGTTCAATGCAAATGATCACTACTCCGGATTAATTACTTACATTGCAAATCACCAATAAAATTCGAATTTTCACGACAGAAGAACACCGCAGTCAGGGTGACTAGCACAATAATGTTTATCAAAGAG